CCAGAGTCTGCGCAGTAGAGATTCGTTTGGAGCCCGAGTCGATTCATTTGGAGCCAGAGTCTGCTCAGTAGAGATTCGTTTGGAGCCAGAGTCTGCGCAGTAGTGTGGAGCCGCGGTATCAAACTCCTGCAGACCCAATCAACCATAATGACACGCCCCATTTTTATAGCATCAAATTACTTGCTAAAATCAAACTTATCACAAAAATGAACAATTGAACATATATCAGCATGATAACAACTACCTTAAATGACCAAAACCATCTTTCGGAAAATTGTATTGAAAGTGCATACTGCGTTAGGCTAACCGAGACTTGTCATTTGCACTATTGTTGCTCTTTTTTTAGTTTTGACTGCTTTTATTGTCCTCATTTGTAAGTCGCTTTGGATAAAAGTGTCTGCTAAATGACTAATTGTAAATGTAAATGTAATTAATTTTTTTATTTTGACTCAAGTCCCATTCGTTTACATGGAGATGGCGGGGTTTATGACCTGTAATGCAGTCAGCCACCAGGGGGCGATCAAAGCCCCCGCAGCTTCACTTTTCAGGACGCGTGAGACACACCCGGCTGAAACCATAGACTGTATAAAAACATGGACGAAGTGTCCGTGACGTCACCCGTAGGTTTCCGAAGAGCGTTTTTGAAGCCTAAAGTAGGCGGAGCCAGCCATCGCCATCTTGGCAGCGCGTCACTCCCGGAAAATCGAAAATGGGCAAAGAGGCGGGAGCTGGTTGCTGAAACCACGCCCACCTAGCTCGACGGTGGTGACAGCGGTGGCAATCCACCTGTCACTCAAGTGGCCACGCCCTTAATTATGCAGAACTTTAAGGCTTAATATAATTTAAACGGATGAGTTATAAAAAAAATTCACCCCCCTCACAGTTGTCATGAAGGGCAAAATTAGCTATATAGATCAAAATCATTTTTTGAACCAGGCTGTAAACAAGTTTTTTTCTGCTGTAAAGTTGGGCAATTTAACATGGGGAGTCTATGGGACTGACTCCCTTTTGCAGCCAACCTCTAGTGGCCAGTTGACGAATTACAGTTTAAGTCACTTCCGTGTTGGCTTCAAGAGAGAGAGCGGGAGGTCCCCGAGAGTACATAATTTATTCGCCGTTTGAATAACCATTCAGAATACAAATTCTGTCCCATTAAACATATTTTATTAGCCTACAGGACACTCTTCTTGCCTAAAAAGACAGGTTTATGATGTTTGTAGTTAATAGATTTGACTGCTTTTAGCCTTACCCTGGAGTTGGTTCACCCTCGGCCTATGGTAGCACACATTGATCAGCTGCACATCACATCACAGACATGCAGAGAGCCGCAGAAGTGAAGCCCTCCCTCCCTTTCCAGTTGTGTTTGTCTTGGTGTGGAGGTGAGTGGTGATGAACGACAGACTTTGCTACCTGTGCCTTGAATTCACAGCTAATTATCCTGTCCATGACTCATGAGAGCTACCAGGTTAGCTAAAGCAATGGTAGGGTAGACCAGTGCAGGTTCTTTCACTGCATGATTCAGTTTATTAAAATGCATTTAGAATGATCACAAAATTCAAGATATGGGGGCAGAAATGTATATATTTATATAATTTCATATAGTTAATCAGTATCACGCGAAGACCACCAAAAAGCAGCATGATTACAAATGTGATACTGATTTTATACAGCAGTTCAATAAACAAGAATTTATTATTAAGACACTTACGTTTTAGACACAATATTGACTGTTTTGGTCTATTTCGCAAACAAATAATTTCAATTTGCGTCTCTATTATTGACTGTTTTGTTCTATTTCGCAACAAATAATTTCAATTTGCGTCTCTGAGCAACATGGCACTGTTTCGTTCCTAAACGAATCAACCGTTTAAATGATTCGGTTCAGTCGCAATGATGCGCTTATTAACAGTGGCTTGCTGCCACCTACTGGCGGTTTTAAGTATCTTCATTTTTTTATAATTTCAAATATCAGTATTTAACGTTTTATGTTTAAAATATCAAAACAGTATTAATGCATTTGTAACTGCAGATTAAACAGAGTGTAAATGCATCTAAATTCCCCTTCTAATCTTCTAAGATTTTATAAGATTCTGTGTTTTCTCTGCATTGCAAAGATTAATTTGGTCAATACTGATTTCATTTGCTTGGTAACAGCCCAAATGACTTAATATTCTAATTGACTGATTCAATTTAAGAATTTGACTGAAATAAAAAGACAGGTTTATGATGTTTGTAGTTAATAGATTTGACTGCTTTTAGCCTTACCCTGGAGTTGGTTCACCCTCGGCCTATGGTAGCACACATTGATCAGCTGCACATCACATCACAGACATGCAGAGAGCCGCAGAAGTGAAGCCCTCCCTCCCTTTCCAGTTGTGTTTGTCTTGGTGTGGAGGTGAGTGGTGATGAACGACAGACTTTGCTACCTGTGCCTTGAATTCACAGCTAATTATCCTGTCCATGACTCATGAGAGCTACCAGGTTAGCTAAAACCTGGCACTTTGCTTTCAAAAGAGATCAGGCAGTTGGTTTTGGTTTTGCTGGTGTTTTTGTATCTGGTTTGGTGAATCGGTGACTGAATTGATATCAACACAGTATACTTTGTGAATTATCTTCTGTAAGACGGTACCATTGGCCTAAACCAAAGTTCAGAAGTTCAGACTGTCTTCAGAAAAACAAACTGTTGCTTACAAAGTAATAGAGACAACTAAGAGCGTCATCAAAATGCATGCTGAATTCAACCATGTCATGGGTGGCACAATGGAAATCTCAGCAAGTGATGACAATTTGGAGTGAGCATCTAATCTAAAACACTCCTCAGACTTTGCTGCATTTCCAAAGCTAGATTTAAAACAGAAGACTGGGGAAAAAAACTTTTTTAACAGAAAGCAGAGGGACAGAGTGTTTTAAAGACCCTCTTACCAGGTGTTTTCTCTCAATGAATGTATATGTAATTGAACAGCCAGTCCGCAACTGGTTACTGATCTGAAGAGTAAAAAGACATGAGATGGAAAGTTAAGAGGCAGAGGTGTTACATTTGAAATCAAAGGATGACTCCATGATGCTTTATTGTGGTCTGGTTCCTGACCAGTTGTTTTAGTTGAAGCAGGTGGTCCATAGTGATGGCATGTTTGCAAGGACCAGGGATGTCCATCATGGTGAGGGGAACACACAGTAGCATGAGAACACACACATTCTTCCCCTATAGTGACAAGCAAAGAAAAACACACATACAAAACCTGGCACTTTGCTTTCAAAAGAGATCAGGCAGTTGGTTTTGGTTTTGCTGGTGTTTTTGTATCTGGTTTGGTGACTCTGTGACTGAATTGATATCAACACAGTATACTTTGTGAATTATCTTCTGTAAGACGGTACCATTGGCCTAAACCAAAGTTCAGACTGTCTTCAGAAAAACAAACTGTTACTTACAAAGTAATAGAGACAACTAAGAGCTTCATCAAAATGCATGCTGAATTCAACCATGTCATGGGTGGCACAATGGAAATATCAGCAAGTGATGACAATTTGGAGTGAGCATCTAATCTAAAACACACCTCAGACTTTGCTGCATTTCCAAAGCTAGATTTAAAACAGAAGACTGGAAAAAAAAACTTTTTTAACAGAAAGCAGAGGGACACAGTGTTTTAAAGACCCTCTTACCAGGTGTTTTCTCTCAATGAATGTATATGTAATTGAACAGCCAGTCCGCAACTGGTTACTGATCTAAAGAGTAAAAAGACATGAGATGGAAAGTTAAGAGGCAGAGGTGTTACATTTGAAATCAAAGGATGACTCCATGATGCTTTATTGTGGTCTGGTTCCTGACCAGTTGTTTTAGTTGAAGCAGGTGGTCCATAGTGATGGCATGTTTGCAAGGACCAGGGATGTCCATCATGGTGAGGGGAACACACAGTAGCATGAGAACACACACATTCTTCCCCTATAGTGACAAGCAAAGAAAAACACACATACAATCACAGATGTTTGTTTTTCTATCATCGGGGGACTTTTTTATACTCTAAACATGAACGTACCCCTCACATAAACCATTTAGCATTTTGGATTTTGTCAAGAAATTATTATTTTTAATAATTATGATGTTTTACCATTTTTAATATGAATTGATTTTTTTAAATATGCATTTATAATAAATATAAATGGAATATAACTATTCAATAAAAACTTAATATATGAATAGAAATGGTGAGAACACGTCACTATTTTCTTCTAACTGCTGTCATTAAAGCTTTTCTTGCAGGTTGTACTCACTGCTGGAAAGTTCAAATGAAGAATTACTGTCTTTTTTTGCCAGGTATGCCACTGGCAACTGTCTTCCCTCACTATCAATATATATATATTCTCTTTCTTTCTTTATCTTTGTTTCTCTCTCTCCCTCCCTGTCAGCAGCTATTCAATAAAAACTTAATATATGAATAGAAATGGTGAGAACACGTCACTATTTTCTTCTAACTGCTGTCATTAAAGCTTTTCTTGCAGGTTGGACTCACTGCTGGAAAGTTCAAATGAAGAATTACTGTCTTTTTTGCCAGGTATGCCACTGGCAACTGTCTTCCCTCACTATCAATATATATATATTCTCTTTCTTTCTTTATCTTTGTTTCTCTCTCTCCCTCCCTGTCAGCACTGCATCCTGCTGCTTTTGTTATTTCTGCATCTGCTACCTCTTTTTGAAATTTCTTTTGATATAATTTTTTTTATTAGAGGCACTGAATGCCATAACATAACTTTTTGCCAATAAAAAAGGTATATTGACAGTGTAGCACAAGCAGATGTAAAAGAAGCATCTCTGAGAACATGCCAGAGAAATGCATAAATTCTACCACTTCAGCACCACTAAATCATGTTAACATGTCAAAAGACTATTACTTCAGAAAATGAAATGCAAAGTAAAAATGTATGCAATGTTAAAAAAAAACCATTGCTGCTTCTCAAAAAAGACAGGATGTTTCCAGCTTTTAGAAGGACCACACGTGTAGTTCCACTGATGAGCTTCAAACCTACCTTGGTTTTGTAGAAGTGAAGCAGTGTAGGGTTGTTCATCTGGCTCACCAATCCAGCAGGATAAGTTTGCAATCCTCAGTTAGATGCATTTGAGCCGATCCAGGTGATGTTTTGCTGTGCAGGGTTGAAGCAGAAAAGACAGAAAAGCTCATAAATGAACCGATCCACCATCAAAATGAAAGTGCACTGACCCAGACATTGAATTTAAAGCACATTCTGAATTTTCTCACAGGGACTCTCTCTGTCCCTTCCCTTCACCCCCTCCTTGTCTTTTTCATTAACTTCTCCGCCTTTTCATGCCCACACCTCTCTCTTTTTCTTACATTCTCATGTTTCATAATGGGTTTATGAAAGCAAGGCATCCTGCTCACTGTCGTTTTCAATTTAAAATCTTGGCGTACATATGTATTAAACATGATGCAAGGAATTATTTTATTTTAGACTCTTAAATGATCTTTCTCTATACCTCACACAAGCCCCCTGTTACTCATATAAGAGCTCTATTATGGTTACCCAGCTATAAATATGCATAGCTATACCTTTTTGTGATCAAAGTTCTGACACCATTTTATGGGCTTTATTTTATCATTTTATTTTTTTTATTTTGTGTGCTGATGGTCAGATGTTCCCCTTTGTTCCTGGGATAGATTTGTACCTTCTGAAGCATGCTGAGAGACATCTTAACATGTTAACTGTCAGAGCAAAAGTCATTGCTCTCAAGAGAGGAAAACAGACTGTGTTCTCCACAGGCTTCGGTAAGATTAAAGAGTGAGGTGTCAATCATAAATGCTTTTGAGCTGGAATTTCCCGTGTTCATTCTCACAAAAATCCAGGAGACCTTAAATGACAGCTGGTTTCCATTGGATCTGTAATAAGTATCGTATTATTTGAGAATTCACGTTATCTGCATTAAATACAAAATTTTCGGTTCAGTAAGATTTTTTAAATATTTTTAATAGTCCCTTATGCTCACCAAGGCTGCATTTATTTGATAAAAAATTTTGAATATATTTTAAAATAAGCTGAATTTTCAGCATCATTACTCTAGTCTTCAGTGTCACATGATCCTTCAGAAATCATTCTAATATACTGATTTGCTGCTCAAGAAACATTTCTTGTTATTATCAATGTTGAAAACGGTTATGCTGCTTCATATTTTTTTCAAGGTTGTTTGATGTATGATTCAAAAGAACAGCATTTATTTGAAATATAAATCTTTTGTAGTAGAATTTTTTACGATCAAATTATAATCTTTTTTTACGATCAATTTCATACTTGCTGAATAAAAGTATTCGTTTCTTTTTTTTTTTTAAACTTATGGTAAACTTTTGAATGAAAGTTCAAAATAATAGTCAAATTTGTCCTGTAGATGGTTACCTCTTGATGCTTGTTTTGACTACAGCGCAATATAAAACATGACAAATATTCAAGTAATAGTGACAAATTCATCATTACATTATTATTTTAAGGAATCGTCCAAGTGCAAGGCTTAAGCTTAGTCCCAGACTAAAATACATGTTTTAACTGAAAGCAAATTGCTGAAATGACATAACTTATAACATAATGTAATGTAACGTTCTGGCATCCCCTGACCTAGGACAAACGGTTTGGAGAAAGGATAAGCCCGGTTTCAAAGACAAGGCTTAAGCTTAGTCCAAGACTAGAATGCATGTTTTAACTGTGTCGACATTATAATATAATATAATATATAACAATGTGTTTCTATTCATTGTTTTTGTTCTGCAGCATTCATTTTCAGTTTTGCAAATGAATAGGACACAAACTGCTGTGTTAAGCACTTCTGAGCATGAGATGAGCAGATCATATGTCTTGCATGTGTGCCTGATCTAAGGACAAACTGATCTGGGGCACTGAAGTTATCAGTTTGCAAACAAAAGACACGTTTGGTTCTTTACTTTGACTTTGAACCCAACCATTTTTTACTACATTAGTATGTACAGTTTACTGTTTATTTACAACTAACAAATTACTCTCAACAATACTTGAACTGGTGATATGACCAACAATAAACTGGTGATGAGATCTCTGACCTGATCAAAAGCCAGGAATGACTGACTGAGGTTATCTACTATCTAACCCTTTCATAAATGCAGCTGCCTTAAGGGAAAGAGAATGTAAATGTTTTGTATTATTCATTTTAAAGTGATTTGGCTAAACCTTTCCTTGATATTTTCCTGGAACGCTTTGAAAATGGAATATGCCTTTGGGAATGTCACATGCATGGACTAAACAGCATATCTACCATCTAGTTTGAAATATTTATAGATCTCATCGACTAGCTTCTTTTAAGTTAAGCTGTGTAGTCATTAAATGAGGGTTCTGAGACCTCAGATGTGTCTTTGTTTGACCTTTAGTTATGTTTTTGAACAAGTACACGAACAATAGAAGGATGTTGTGGATGAATGCTCAGTGTCTGCCTGTTTGGTGACACCAGGGCAAATTTCATCAGATTTGTCTTCATATGACTCTTATCTTTATTGTTCTTCGGAGTTTGCTTTTGTGTTTCTTGAAAAAACGCTTGTCAGAGCAAATCATTATCTTTTGGTTTCGCATTTTCTTGCATTTCACCTCACAGTAAAGTTTTCCTCTAGTTAAGTTTCAGTCTTACTGTCTGGTGGAAATTATGACATGTAATACACAACCCAGTTTTAACCAGAGAAAATAAAGTGTTCTTGTTCAGATGTAGGTATTAATATTTCAAAATGAGCTGTGAATCATATAGTATGTCAATCAAATTACAGTACAAACACATGGCGGCCTATGGCAACTAAAAATAAAAGTAACCAACCACCTAACCCATTTGTTCAACCTGTAAAAAACATGAATACAAATCATATTAAAATCTTAAGTTTGGCTATACTGACATTTCTGTGTGAGATTTGCCAAGGTGTGTTTTACTTGCTTCTCACACTGGTTTTTGGGGTTTGTTTCTTGTTTAGGTTTTCTTGTCTATAATTTTGTATTTTCTTGTTTTTAATTCCTGCCTTGCCGTGTGTTTCCCTGACCCATAGGCAGATTAACCATATGGGCAATTGGGCAAGTGCACCACGCAAATCATTTTTTTCTGGTAAGACAAGCAATGCATAATCAAACGTCCATCTATGACCTATATATACACTTACACCTGTGTGAATCAGTGGATGCACGATCTATCACCGGATTCACACATACTGCGTAAACCGGTGCATTTTCGTTTCGACGCCTATATATTACTCAAATGCTTTCACTTTGTACATTGCAGCCGTTGCCAATCAAGAAAGGGAAAGAGTGTAAACTAGTGAGTTTGTAAGTTTTATTTTCAGTTCAAATCCTCACAAAACTATGTAGCTATATACAGTACTTAACAAATTTATTAGACCAGCTGTTTAAAACTAAAAATTGTATTGTCATTTATTAGGCAAATAACAAACAGAAACAACTAAATAGACTTTATTCACACATAATAACCAAAAAACTTATATTTCATTTTTATTTTGGTTGGCCTCCTTTGGCCTTGATAACAGCTTGCATTCTTGCTGGCATTGTTTTTATGCACTTTTCACAGTCTCTGTTGTTATTGACTTCCAAATAGTTTCTAGTTGTTCCCAAATATTTGCTTTTGGTGTTTCTAATGCTAATATTTTAGCATTAGAAACACTATGTGACTAAAGGGCACTCTAGTGGCGCTTTTCCACTGCATGGTACGGCACGGTATGGCTCGGTACGGTTCAATTTTGGGGGGTTTTCCACTGGGTACAGTACCTGGTACCTGGTACTTTTTTTAGTACCACCTCGGTTGGGGTTCCAAGCGTACCGTACCGTTACCAAAACGTGACGTGTAAACGCTGCTGATCACGGATTGGCTGGAGAGAATCGTCACTACCTACTGCCCTGACCCTGTCATGTGATCCTGCCATGTGGTCCTTTTGTTTTAGTGGCTTGTTCTCATTGGTTCCTTTGTTGCATGTGTCACAGTCTCATTGGTTGGATTGTATCTTGTGACCCCTTTGTTTGATATAAATAGCCATCATGTTTCATTGTCCCTGGTCTAGCTTTGTTTGTGTACCACTGTTGGTGAGTTTATGTCCATGTACTGCCACTCATGCAATGTAATCAATGATGTACAACCAAGCAAACGAGACGGAGGGAAGTAAGCAAGTGAAGGGCATAAATGGAATGCAGCCCACAGCCTCATCATGTCATGGCTGCCACGCCAGAGCCTCCAGCCCTCTTGAAAGCCAAGGGTGATTCCTAGGCATATGAGACTGGCTTCCAGTTTGGAGGACATACTGCTTGTATCTGTGCAAGCAGCTAGCATCTCTGCGGTGGTGCCCAGTCTGAGGGTCTCTGAGGTGGTCCCACTGTCAGTCGCACTCCCTGTTATGGCGATGGCCATTATGTGTTTTTGGGCTGCACACAGCTTTCCAGTCTATGAATCCACTCCAGTGTCCGCTCAAGCCCTAGAGCTCAGACCTGTGTTGCCGCCAACCTGTGAGTTTCCTGTATGTCCTGTTGTGACTACAGTGGTTACACTAAACCCTCTGCCAGTACTGTCATGGCTAAAAAGGCTGTCCCTGAAATCTCTGCCTGTCATGGCCAAGGAGGTTGTCCCTAAACCCCATGAACAGGTAAAGCCTGTCAGCTGTGTGGACATTAACAATTCGTACAATCGATACTAATATGGCTTCTTCTTGTTATCAAAGTCTTTAGTCTATAGGCTAGGATATATGCTGTTCTGTTAATGCGTTACCTCATATTATTTGTAGCTTGCTTAATCGCAATAAGCTTTGTGCTCTGTTACCTTTTAATAAACAAAGTATCAGCTTTAAAATTCTGCCAAATTCATAACGAAATTCAAACAATAAGTAGCCTACCGTTTTGGCGCTATTTAATGCGGCATAAGCGATCGCTTTAGCGCCTCTGTTCAAGTGGCACGTGAACCCGTTATATCTTTCTCTTTACTATTATACGAAATACACATGAATGGACTTAAGATACAGTACAACTTACTGAAATGTCTCATTGTAATTGCTCATTCAGTGCTTCAAACTGCGGTAAACGTTTAAAGCTTGTAAAGAATTCCACGTAACAATACATTTACCTCAGAATAACCATTCAGCGTCCATAAGCTCATAAATCAGCTATAAAAATGAAAAGAAAAAAAAACTATAAAGAATTGCTTTTAGATAAATATATGCGCTATATTGCATACTCATATTTT